AGTTTACATGTGCATGTTTTGCCTGCAGGTACATCTGCATGATGTGTGTGCAGTACTCCCAGAGGCCAGAAGAGGGTGTCAGGTGCCCTGGAACTGGGGTCAAAGACAACTGTCTGGACTAAAGGCTACTAGTACTCCTAATTAGCTCTCCACTCGAGTAACTTGCTTTTTTTTAAAAAAAAAAAAAAAGTTTGTCCTTTAGTCAATTAAATTATCACAAATGATACTACACACTTTGACAGGAATTTTTTAAAAGCATGTTTAAATGACAAAGAACCCTGTCCCAGCCACCAAGAAGCAAAACAGTTAATTCAGCTGTTAGAGGAACTGGCAAGGTCTAAAGAGATTTCAGTAAGCCTAAATCCCACAGATAAAAAGAAAAAATGAGTCACATCGGGGACATACTAAAAAAAAAAAAAAAAACCAAAAATGTTCACTGTCATTAGCCCAACAATACCATTTTATAATGGTATTTGAAGTCGCTTCATTTTTAGCCCATGACTAATTACATGGGCATCTTCCAAACCAACAATGACTTCACTTTTCAAGCATGCTGGTCAGGATAACATTTTGTTTCTAAAACACTGCACTCATTCCCTTGCGCCAACCCTAACACCGAGTTCCCAACAGTTTAACCAGCTACATGCCTTCTATCAAGGAGGCCAACTGCTACAATACTGGGGCGGGGTGAGGGGAGGTCAAGCAATATGAAAAATAAAGACTACTTAGATGGTTGTGGGGGAGGAAGGCATTCTTGTCAAGAAAAAATAGCTATATTTGGTCACATACCATCTCCTAGACACACACTATTTTATATGCACTCATTTTGGTTAGAGACTAAATAAGACCCGCAGTGGGGGCCTCAACACTGAACTCGATCTGTATTAGAAAAGCAAAACTGTATCTTCCTGTGTTCTCTGAATCCCGATGCTCTGAATACCAATTCGCCACTCCTCCCAAGTGCCGGGGTGAATGTTTGAGGAGCTGTGTGGGTTGTGTGTGAGCCAGCTACACTTCACTCAAGCCTGAAGGCCAAGAAAACGCTGGTACTCAGAGAAGCTGTGTAAAATGCCGTCGAGGGTGTTAGCACATCTTCTGACGATCTGAGTAGTTTAAAATAATCAAGGTTTCCTGGGACATGTCTATAGGAAAGCTGAGCATTTGAATTCAGGGGCAAAGCGTGGAGGCCAGACGTGAATGGAAGAATCAAGATGAAGATGCTTTGTCCCTCTGCGTGATAACGTAACAAACAACATGAGACAGCCAAGAAAACTAGCAGGCTTCTCAGAGGAATGCAGGCCTAACAAAGGGTCTAGCCTCATCTACATCATCTTCTGTGAAATTACAAAGGGGGCTGACCATGAAAGCACATGGACGTTGTATGGTGTCATGTCAAGGTTCTAACTGGAGTGCTCCTGCAAGAATTCGGGAAAAAAACAAACCCTGGGGAAAAAAAAAAAAAACAGTAACAATAACGGAAAAGTTGAGTCCAAGAATTAACTATTGAACTTCATAATGATGATTCTATAAAATTAGATATTATTGCCTTATTATTCTCTTTGTGTGGGGCAGGGAAAAGAGTATATTAGTCAGGCTTGGGTCACACAAGCAGTAAGTGAGAGAAAATTTTAAAAAATTAAATTCTCATTGTCAAGCAACAAAGTTTGCAAATGTTTAGAACACTCTGTTTATTGTCATTTGATTTCAGGATGTTTGAAAGCCCCCAAATGTCCCTGAGAACAAGGGTTGGGTCTAAGCACCTCTGCCTTCCAGTAGAGGAGACAGAGGGCCAGGGGTAACGCTGCAGGCAGGTGCGGCTGGGAGAGACCCGAGTGGCTCTTCCGGTTCTTGGACAATGTTGCTCTCAAGACATGCAGCCACTGTGCTGGGCAGCTACCCCCATGGTCTCTTTCCATTCTATGGTGTCCTAATCTGAATGTGGAATCATGTAATCTCTGTAAAGAAGAAAGGCTTCTACTACTATGGTGGTCTGAATGAGATGTCCATGTCTACGGCCACTACCACCCTGAATGTGCCTGATCTTGTCTGATCTCGGAAGCTAAGCGGGGTGGGGCCTGGTTAGCACTGGGATGGGAGATGTCCCCCAGTCTCTAGCATTTGAATGACTTGTCCCCAGCTGGTGTGGCTGTGTTGAAGTGTGTCATGTCACTGGGGGTGGGCTTTGAGGTTTTAAAGCCTTGCGCAGTTCTGGGTGCACTCTCTCTGCTTTGTGCTGGCACTCTGAGATGTGAGCTCTCAGCTTCCTGACCCCGCCTGCGTGCCTCTGCTTGGCCATCCTGACCTCTGACTCCACAGAACTGCAAGCCCAAACAGACTCTTCCTTCTACCCTTCTACAAACCTCCTCAGTCACGGTGTGTCCTCACAGCGATAGAGAAGTAATGAACACAAACATCTTGTGAGAGTTGAGACCCAGTCCAGCAAACACCTGACAGGATCCCAGACAGGATCCCTGACAGGACCTCTCAAGAAAGAAAAACAAAGGCCCCCTGCCTCGGTTTTAACAACAGTCTTGAAAAAAAAATTTTTTTGGGGGGGGGGAACTGTTTCTCAGACCTCAAATTGAGATCTTCTCATGGATCATAAAAGCAATTTAATGCCTCATAGACGGATGGCGTTTTCATAAATCCAAATGAACTATAATAAAAAAAATATATACCTAATACTATATTGCCAACACCTAGTGTTAACAGCGCTACCCTTTAGGCACACAGTACAGTTCTTGTTCCAGTCTCTATCAAAACCATCAAACAAACAAACAAAAAAGCTGAGTGGTGGCGGCGCTCACCTGTAATCCCAGCATTCAGGAGGCAGAGGCAGGTGGATCTCCGAGTGTGCAGAGCACGTTCCGAGACAGCCAGGGATACACAGACAAACCTGTCTTGAAGAAACAAAAACCAAACAACCAACCGACAAAAAACATCCAGACACCATAGTGGAAGGCCACTGGACACCTGGCATGGGAAGCATTCTTAGTTATAACTTGATGACTGAGGTTACCGGGACCAACACTTAGAATATCTCGTGTCTGTAATTACAGAACCTTCTTGACACGCTGAAGAGCCAGCTTGATTAGCCATGCAAAGAAATTCCAGGAACCCGCGGCCACGTCAGTGCTTTCCCAATGAAACACAGACACGAGACTGTGCAGAAAAACACAATCTTTCAAGAAAGCGCACGAAGGAAGTCGGGGCTCTGGGCAGAAAGGCCGATGCCAGGCCCAGCAGGAAACAACACAGTGAAGAAGGGAACAGCCAACCGCAGCCCGCGGCAGCAAGGATACCTCCAAAGGTCAGCATGCGGGAAGGACGCATGCGTCATTCTGAAGGCTTTCTCCAATAGAGGAGGGAGAACGAGAGCCATCATGAGAAAACACAAACGTGTACAAACTCAACTAAAACATGGTCCACTTCCATGCCTGTGACCAACCCGCAAGTTAAGTCTAAAACCCGATAACGTGTAAAAGTCATATAGAAGTCGTTGAGTTTCTCTTTCCTCTTCACTAACTGTCTTGCGGTGGCAGCCGGAGAATTTGTGAAGGCAATGCCTTCTCTGCAAGAGTGCTGTCTTGGGGAGAAACACAGAACAACTGAATAGGACATCTATACCGTACCCCCCTCCCAAGGCTCAGAAATCATTGTAGAAGCCGGGGTGAGAAGTGACCAGGAGCTGAGGCAGTAGACGAACACAAGGGAGACAGTCAGGACACAGCAGGGCTGCTGCTGCTCACAGGGACTCAGGGTGGTTGTGACAGCAATCACAGACCTGGGCAAGCCCAAGTCACACCAACTCCCAGCACGGAGAGGGAAGCAGGACACACAGCTCACCGCTAGCCATGGAGCGACTGGAGATTGTTAGCTGCCGGTGAAGAGAAAGACGGTGTTCTCTAGGACTGATCAGTCAACCAGGATCCACACGTCCAGGAACACTGGGGCAGCACAAATTGTTCTTGAATGATTTGGAGGGTTAGGGGGGACATAGATTGGATGGGTAAGAAGTGGGGGATTGGTCGGGGGAGAGCTGGAGAAGAGGGTAGAGGACCAATATCATCAAAATGTTATATGAGATGCTCAAAGAAGTAACTAAGAGGAAGAAATGCAGAACTAATCTAGGGAGCCATTGCATCATAGTCTTGACCGAAACAATGAATTGTGGGTAACGGCTGCCAAAAGCCTCAGCTAGAAGACAGGCAATCGGCTTTATGATGATAGACACATCAGGCTGGAAACTCCTGAACTCAGAAGTGGAGCGGGGTCTCCTAAAGGGAAAATGCAGTGAAAATACTTCTAACGAGACAGAGGATCAGAGCCCTAAGGAGAATGAGCCAACCAGTCCCTCAGATCCACTACAAGGGGACAGGAAAGATAGGCGCACAGAGATACAATCAGCTAGATTACAAATACAGGCACCTTACAAAACCTGGTTTCCTCACTAAGTCAGGCCAAGAAAAACCAGCGGATGGAACTGGATTGAGCCTAAAAAAACATAAAATTTAGACTCCCTCAAATGTGTCATTACCGACTTTGTTTGATCCTGATTTGTACAATCACACCTCAAAGGGACTTTTTCAGGATTGTACAATTTGATTATAGACTACCAAGTTACATAAGGACTTATTTTTAAATTGTTAGATGTGATATAATATCATATCGGTTTCTTAAAGGGATAGAACATTTTGAATAAAAAAGCATACATAGCACATATAAGAAATCCAATTAGCAGAATGTCAGGAAGTTGGCATGCATAAGCCCCTTGTGAGAAAAACATTTCGCCTTTCTGGTGGATGTGGAATTCCAAACACCTACAAAGCAGGTCACCTGATTTCCAGCCTTCACAAGAAGGGGCTAAGGCCATCTCAGCTAGGTAAAAACCACACGGCCGAGGCTTCCTTCTGTTTCCGGATGCTGTCCCACTGAAAATGCAAACATGCGTCGGAAGACCATACTCTGCAGCAGCACACACACACTATCAGAAAGCTTACGCGACGGAGCTGGCGAGCAGGCATGCCTCTTGGTTCTCGTCCTGGAGCATGGAACTTATCTTCCTTCCTGCAGCTTTGCTGATGGACGTCTTCAACTTTTTAGCCAGCTTTCTGGGGGTGCTGGTTATGGAGGGGTCCTCTGCACCGCAGCTGTACACGTCCATCTTTATCCGGAAGTCCGGGCCCGCTTCGTGGCTAAGCACAAGAGTGGTTAGAACGCTGGTTGTCAAAATCAGTAGACGCTAAAACTAACACACCTTGGATGCTTTTACGATAGTCAAAAAAAAAAAAAATCAACATTTAAATCATATATAAGGAGATGCGATTTCCAGTTATTTAGTTTCTGAAGAGCTTTAGAGGTTCACTGTAACTTTTAGAGCTGTTAGCTTCTAAACTAGAGTCTTGGAGATTTGGGGAGTGACTTTTTTTTTTTTTTTTTTTTTTTTTTGGTGAAACGCTTGCTAAGCACGCACACATACCTGGTCAGGCATGACCTAATCAGTGAGCTGTAGGCCAGCAGAAGACCGTCTTTAAAAATACAGCAGAGAGGGCCCACTGTTATCTGCTGGTCTCCGGATGCTTAGGCACATCAATGCATGAACACCCCACAGCACACACAAGAACATATATGCACATACACAACACACGCACGCGAGCACTTTACTTCACTTGAGCCAACACACACAGGCATAGTACTTAAGAAGCATGAAGAATAAAACACACCGACTACGCCATTTTTCCCTCACAGTCCTTCACCACCAAAATGTGGAAGTATCTATTTATATGATATCTGGAATTTCCTGAAACAACTGTCTCTCCTGAACAGAGTCCACGGAAACTCCAGTTCCCATTTGTCCTCATACCCAGTCAGTCCACCGCCTCACTGCGGCCCACAGCCACCAGCATTCCACTGTTTGGTTAGAGAGAGAAAGGACCACAAAACCAAGATAAAGGGATAGACTTCACAGCCTGGGGCTCCCAGAGGGCAGGCACAGCCTTGATGAAGGCTGTGTGTCTTCACAAACCATGCCTGAAAGGAGAAGGGGCCGGATAGGCTTTTATTAAAACCTACTCAGGGCTGGGCAGTGCTGGCGCACACCTTTAATCCCGGATCTCTGTGAGTTCAAGGCCAACCTGATCTACAAGAGCTAGTTCCAGGAGAGGCTCGAAAGCTACAGAGGAACCCTGTCTTGAAAAACCAAAAACCAACCAAACAAAAAACCCTATTCAGAAATTCTCCAGTTTGGAGATGCTTCGGTTGGTAGATGCTTGCTTACCAAGCATAAGGGCCTTAGTTTGGGTTCCCCCACCCACAAATCAGATGTGGTAGCCTGTGTCTGTAAGCCCAGCAGTTCTTCAGCAAGACTGGAGGCAGACACAGGAGACACCCCAGGAGCCTGTGGGCCAGCTTGTTTGGCAAATGCAACAGTGACCAGAAAAAAACAGGCCCTGGCTCACATAGGTGAAAGGCTCAGGTCTACCCTGGAGGTTGCCCTCTGACCTCCACACCTGCTGTTGCACAACTGTGCTCGTGCTCTCCCACACAAACACGTGCACAGAGAAAACAAACTGTTTAGCAAGCACAATATGTCGGGCGTTACTCTTTCTAGGCACAGTCAGCTACCATTAGCGCAGAAACCCATTGTGTTGTTACTAAGAGCAAGACACACTTAGGACCGCATCCATCTGCAGAAGAGACCGGAAGACGGAAGGGAGTCAGTCATGGGGCCTTAAAATTCAAATGGCCAATCTAGGGTTTGAATAAATCCAAGGACCCACTTCCAGATATTTTTATAGTTTCTTACTTGGCAACTTCCAAACATACAGTATTCCTGGTAATGAGTAACAAATGTCAATATTTAGAAGAAAACCAGAGATTCATAAATATTGAAGACTTATTAAAAACAAGCATCATAACAAAAAGCACATTTTTTAACATTTAGAACATTTGTCAGCAGTTATTTTTAGACCAATTTGAAATATTTACACAAAAACTACCAATAAATCATATGCTGTCTTCCAAGTCATTTGTATTGTTCTTCCTGCGGGGGGCGGGGGTGTCCATCTAACTTTTGTCTTTGTGGCAAAAAGCAAACAATGGCCAAGTGATGTGAAGAAAAGAGCCAATTAGCTAGTGAGTGGGATAATCTTGGCAAGAAACAAAATGTCATTAGCAACGTCTGAAAATAGAAATAAAGATAGAGAGATAATGAAGGAAATACACCTTAGCCTAAATTCTACAAGAACTTAGGACGCTTCCTGAGGGGGGGCATCACTGAATTCCTTTGGCTTAAACACAGCTTGTAAAATGGCTCGTGTTGCTGCTAATAGCCCAGGGTGACATGTTGTTTTGTCCTACACAATCACGCCGGGACACCAGCACAGAGGCCACAGATGCTGTCTGCGGCGGTCCTGTCGGTGGGACGGGACTGGCAAAGGCGGGCCTCTGAAGTCTCAAGTGTCAGTGGACACGGCAAGGGACGTCTGCTGGCTCCACGTGAACCGCTCAGCAGCTATTCCCACTCGATAGCGGAATGGCATCGTGAAAGCGCCTAAGAAACAAATCCCAGGAGGCGACGACAGAGTCTTTGAAGGAGAGGCCAGGAAAACCTCATGGTGGTTAAAAATGATCTCTGTGGCTACCCAGGAGCCGTTTCTGCCTCTCCGTATGAAGGCCATAATAAAATGAGCCTGCGCAGAGCAGGGCCATAAAACAGTGCTTTAAGATGGCCAGGCTGTTCACTGAGTCTATGAGGAGTCCACTGTAAGAAAAAGAATGGCCGAGCACCATGACAGGCACTTAGAGAATGGCTTGGAAGCAAAGCCGCTTTGCTACTTTAGTACTCTTGTCAATAAACTTCCTGTGAAGTTTTTAAAAAAAAAATCAGCTTTATGGCTAAATTCACTTTACAGCAAACATAAAGCAAAATTCGATTATATTTATAGCTTGGTTAATGATAGAAATATAAATATTTATAAAGAGTTTATCAGAGCCAACAAGCCAACTATTTGCTGCTTATATTAATTAAAAGATTTCTATTTTATTCTGAATCCAAAAAAATGTATCTTTTAAACATTTAAAGCTGTTAATGCTTTGAAAAGGAGCCAAGGACCATCAGGATGCAGGCCATCAGAAACCAAAGATGGCAGTCAGCCCTCCTTTACTGATAAGAAAAAGAGGCAGACTTCCGAGTTCATTCTTTAAAAATGAAAGATACTTACAATATGGTGACGTTGTCAAAACATATATCTGTGACCGTCTGATCCACAATCACCATGTCGGTGTCAAACACTTCGGCTCCCATCCTGAATAAACAGAAGATGGCGTAGCGCTGTGTGCCTAAAGGAGAGACGATGGTAGAGGAGGCCATCACAAGCCAGACAAATCAGGCCCGAGATGCTCGCCTCGCACGCATGCTGAGCACTGAGTTGCCATAGCACTGGCTGCGGCTTCCTGTGTATGCAATAGTCCCTCACCCAACTCAAACCCAACCACAAACCAAGAATCAAAATTGAACATCAACCCGCAGCTCCCCAAAGAGATCCCCAGAAACCAATCTGATCACTAACCAACTCGTACCCTATCAGGAAACTAAGCACCGCACATAACGATTCCAACACGTAAGGACTCCCTTTGTTACTTGAGGTCCACGTCTTAGGAGAAAGCGACTTTTAAAGGCGGGAACACCAGCAGCAGCCAAATGTCTTCCACCAAGGGAAGAAACCACCCGAAAAGCCCCGACAACCAAATGCTCTAACAAATGCCAGGGCATTAAAGAGCTAGTTTATTAAAAGCTAGCAATGATTTCTTCATTATTGAGAAAATTTAGCTCTTTAGGAAAAGTTTATTCTCTGCAGTGAGCAGGAAGATTGACTTAATTCCCACATGCCTTCCTTGGTGAAGTAAATTATATGTCCTAATTGAAAAACAAACACTAGTTGATTTAAATTCTTCATATTAAATTAATGATGCCCGATACCATTCATCTTTTTAGAATATGAAGAATAAAGTCACACTAGACAAGGCAGATAAAGGACTATCGGATCACTCAGCTTTGCCTCACCCAGCTAGGAAACATTTGAGATTAATGACTGTCATCCAAGCAATACACAGACTTGTGAAGACTGCATACAGCCAATAAAATAGAAGGGGGAAGAAAAGATCACATCTAGTTAACAAGCTCTCATTACATCCTGTTAAATAACCTAACAAAGCCAAGCCGAGATCTCACTCCAGACAGCTGTTTAGTATGTGTGTGTGTTGAGGGGGAGGTCGACCTTTCTCCCCATCTCTCCACCTTGAGCCCATCACTCAGGTTCCCATCAATGAGGGGAAAGTGTATGTGGAATGTGCCATCTACTCTGAATCAGGGAACTGGCACGCAGACCCCAAATTGGAAAACAACTATTCACCAGCACTGCGCTTACTGCCAAACGGCAGTGCCATCGCTCAGTGCCGAAGGGGTCTGTTCTCGGAAATCACAACCTGGGGTCTTGCGCGCTAAAGGAAACACTTCCGACTACAAGAGGAAACCATACGTACATTCTTTATTGCTGAAGTGATCAGAGTCTTTCCACATGAGTGGGATTCGGATATCTGCAAAGGTGGCAGGAAAAAAGACAATTATTTTGATAATTTTTATTTCAACATGATGTGAACCTCTGAATTCCATAATAAATAGTGCTCATCAAAGACGAAATATACACATTTTCTAGTTGTTCACCGCTGACTTATAAAATATTTTGTTCCTGTATGTATACAGGTGTGTTGTCTGCATCACTTGCGTGTCATGTCTGATGCCCACGAAGGCCAGAAGAGGGCACGAGATCTGAGGTTGCAGGTGGTAGTGAGCCATCATGTGGGTGCTGGGCCCCACCCCAGGTCCTCTGCAAGAGTAATACACACTCTTAGCTACTGAGCCACTTCTCTAGCTCCGTAGGTGATAATTTTAGAAGTTATTAAATATATGTAAAATTCGGGGGTATTTGAAATGAAAATTCACTCTTTTAATTTATGATTTTAGCTCCACGTCTATGTCTTTTCCTTCCCACCTCCCCAGCTTTATGATGCCTCCCTCAGCAGCTGTGCCATTCAGAGTCCACATCTGTTCCTGGTCCAAACACTTCAAGGATGGAACCAAATCACTAATCAGCAATTATATATCCCAGTGCCAAACATGCTAGAATTGCTGTCCTTTGGAGGCATCCGATTGTCACTGGTTCTTTACCATTTGATCAAAATCCCTCTCAATTAACTTAGGAGCTCAAAACATTTTTACACCCCCCCTTCTCTCTCTCTCTCTCTCTCTCTCTCTCTGTGTGTGTGTGTGTGTGTGTGTGTGTGTGTGTGTGTGTGTGTGTGTAGGTCAGAGACAACTTATGGAAGTTGGTTCTCTCCTACCATGTGGGCCCCAGGAATTGAACTCAGATCACCAGGGTTTATCTGTTGAGTCCTCTCACTGGCCCAGGGAACTAATAACGTCTTCGGTATTTTACCTTCACATAGTATATTTACTTTTAACATTTTCTCTAACTTTGGCTTTTGGTTTGAGGGCTGGAGCTCAGGTCCAGAGGCCCAGAAGAACCTCCCACAGAGCTAGCCGTGCCTGCAGCTCCCACCCTTACATTTTAATTAAGGTCATTCTTGTATATTTAATGCTTGAGGGTAGTTGCTGCCTTGCTGTAAATTACACTTTTTTTTTCATTATATTTTGTAGCAAGTTATTGCTGGTTTTAAGAAAAACTACCACTTTTATTTATTTATCCTAAATCCAGTCACATTTTATTGAATGCTTTAATTCAAGTGTCTCAGTAACTCCCCTTAGGTCACATCCATCTGCCATCCATTAGCCTCAAAAAGTATCCAATCTGCCTATTCATTTTCAATAGCTTCATTTTTCAGTCATTATTTTAGTTATAATTCCAGGCCAGTGGTAAATTATGTTGACATAATAGACATTGTTATTTTGTTCTTGATTTTAATAGGAATGTCTTTGTCTTATAACTCTAACTCGGCTGATGGCCTGTCAGGGCTGCTTCTTGCTTGACCACAATGGCTGCCTCCTTTCCTTCCATGATGGTCAACGGTTTCTCACTGCAGTTGCACTGGCTGTGGTGGGGCGACCTTAACTATTCCCACTGCCATGGAGGGACCCTGACCATGCTTCCTCAGGTGCTTCCCCACAACCGGGGTCAGTCCTGCTCCTTCCCACGCCTCGTCCCAGCTCCATACAAACCCAGGAAGAGCGAGAATTTCCCATCGATTTCCCAGTTGGCCATGGATCCCTCAGATAGCAGAGGTTCCAGCTTTGACTGACAGAAACAACCAACCACCTGGGTTCTAGCTTATTGTAGTCCACCTTTGCTTTTCCTGTATCTTCATTGACAGTTTATGGCAAACTAAGACTGCCCACACAGCTAGCGAACCTGAAGCATCAGGTCCCAGCCTGTAGTTTTGGTTAAGAGAGAACTAGAGACTGGGGCGAAGGCTCAGGGGTTGAGCACTTGGTGCACAACCACAGTTTGGATCCCCAGAACCCACTTACATGCGGGATGGCTGTGGCAGCCACCTGTAATTCCAGCCTGGGGCGGTGGTGGGGGGAGGGTCCCCAAAGAAAGTTGGCTCTAGAGATTGTCATTGCCAGGGACCTGTGAGTTTGACTGACAGATCCTGCCTCGAAATTAATAAAGTGGAAGAATGACTGAGATGACTCCACCTCAGGACCTTATACATACGTGCATGCATTTGCACACATCTACATACATGCAAACATGCATCCGCACGTATGAAAATGAAAAAGGGAAACCATTGCACGGTTGACTGATTGACTTAGTTAGTCACTGAGGTCGGAGCTGGCGAAAACACAGGGCGATTGCCACAGTGCCACTGCCTGCTGTACAAGGCATGCGGGCGAACCCGCTACTTTCATAGTTATGAAGCTCTGGCCAGGGGAAGCGGGTACAAGAAACTCAAAATCCAGGTCTGCCTTGTTTATAGTGCAGTCTGAGAAACATTCTAACACTTGGCTGCCAGTGTCCAGCAAGCCAAGATCATGGTAATGGCACATGCATCCCATCCTCTGGGCTTCATTTTCTTAATTTTATTTCATTTAAAAATGTCTTGGGAAGAAAGACCATGTTTTGAGGAAGATGACCTTGGGTTTTGTACAACGTTATCTACCATCATGAAAAGGCCCCTCCCCCATTACACACCTTCTTTTTTTTTTTTTTTTTTTTAAGGATCCCTTCTAAATGCGGTAAACAAGCGCCCTCAAGAAGAAAGCAGCTGACGGCAATCAGAGCTCACACACAGGCCACTTACCTCATTTGCCCACAGAGTAGAGCTTTACTAGAAGCAAGGGAAGGAGAATATTTAAATGACGGTGGAAAAATCTCCTCTAAAGATCTACAATAGTTAATCTACGCATGTTAAACTGTATTTAGAGAGAAGATGTCCCATGTTTGGCAGCAAAAGGGCACAGGCAACGTCGCGGGCCTTGTGTCGGCCGCACACTGAAGACCTAGCATGAACGCAAATAACCACAGAACAGGCACCAGGCTTTGGCGCGGCTCATCTAATTCTCTGGAGTGCTCTTTGCTCAGCTGAGGCCAATTTCTCCAATAAGGTCCTAAATAAAATATCTGCTCTCCCGGCACGGTAACTTGTGTCCAGCCATGACTGTGAGCGACGGAGGTGGAGACCGGCCCCTTGAGAGGCAAGCCCGGTGGGTGGCATAGCGGCTGGACACTCCACCTTAGGCCAACGGAACAGGCCAGCCATTCCTGGAGGCCAGCGCAGGACACGCTGCTTTTCTAGGGTATGCTGATGAGATACCTGCCAGCCTGCCACGCTAATCCTGTGGCATCTCTACGCCATTGTCTTGGATGGCCCTGCCATGTTGGAGAAACTGAGACTACACAGCCTAAGCGCCATCTAGTGGCAAAGCGCCTTCTAACGCTTTGTTCCACTGAGCGGACAGGAATCATCGCTCAGCCTGATTGACAGTGGGAGGGTCTAGAGATGAGCAAACAGATCCTGGAGAAAATACCACAATTTCCCAACCCAGTAAGGTGTCTGATCCAAGGCGTGTGTTGACAAAGGAAGGGAAAAAAAAAAAATCTGCCTAAAGCACGTGGCTTGTGTAATGGAAGACAGAGCCAGAGAAAGAACTGGGCCAGAACGGAAAACTTGGCGGGGCTGGGGCAGCTTGGTTTTTACAAGGTGAAAGTGGTCAGCCCTCTACCCAGCATTCACTGGGCAATCACGGGAGCCAAGCCCAGTGACAGTGGCTTTGACATAATGTGCTAAACAAACACGGGCCCAATGCCCCTGGAACCTGCATCTTAGAGGACCCTTAAACAGAAAGGGCGGGAGGGAGGGGGAGCTTGTGGGTTTGCAGCCCAGCTTGGGCACTACAGCAAGCAGGTCACTCAACGCGCCTTCCATGCATTCCACAACCTAGACAGAGGACAAACCTGCACCATGTCTAACGCACAGCATAGTTTCCCCACACCGCAATGTCCCACGCGACTGTAGAGCATAATGATTAAATATTTAGAATAAATATTCTGATGGAGGTACGAACAACGAAACGGAGAGACTGGAAATACCGAATACACGAGGCCGGCAACGCCAGCCACTCTACGGACACAACAGCAGCACCACAAGCGTCCATGGCCTACCTGAGAGGGCGAGCCTCCCTCGGCAGGGTCTTCGCTCTTTGCTCTCATGGTTCACATCACTGTCAAGAGAAAAACACATCAGCACCAACAAAGGTCTTTTTTAAAGAAGCAACGATTTCAAGTCTTTCACAAACAGATGAACTTTAAAATAAGTATATACCTATGAATACCAATAACTAATGTGGAGCACTTGCCTCAAAAGGTGTTTAGTTGACAGCTAGATGGCTTTCAGGGAGTTTATACAACCATTCAACTTCCTAATAATGTGTACTGGCGACACTCTGGTGGTGGCTTTGCTGACCAACTCAACACAATGGACAGTAGGTTCCTGTCCCTGGGGCTGCAATCACAAAACCTACATTTCGAGTTCGTCAGCTGCACTGGCCCGAAGGAGTCAGGTGTCGAGTCATGGTCTGCTATCCCTGAAAGCTGAAGGAAACCCCATCTTACCTTTGGCTATAATTTATGTGCAGTTGTGGCATCATATCGAACATAATACCTCATTTCTCTTAAGTTCCAACAAACAAGCACAAAGTAGATTAGTATGAGAGAACAGAAAGCAGAGAGGAAAACAGAAAATCTCTTTCAAGGACATTCTGAGATGTAAGACCACCTCACTCTCAAGTCAGGACTTCCTATCACTCAAAACAAAATGAGACACCATTCAAGCTGAAGATGGCGCATTCAAGGCCAGGCTCTGCTACCTATGAAGACCGTGTCTCACACACAAAGCCAGGGAAGGCAAGATGGCTCAGTGGATAAAGGCGTTTGCAGGCAAACCTGGGGGCTTGAGGTTGATCTCCGGACCCCACATGATGCAAAGAAAGAGCAGATGCCTGCCACGATATGATATAAAAATATTATCAAACTATAATATAAATCTAATTAACCATAAAATTTTGCAGAATTAAGTTTGTCTTTAAAAAAAGGAGAAAACTCAAACCTCAATTTTCTGAAGCCTCGGTCATTTTCAATTTAAATACTCTCAGAAATGTTATTCCGGGTGCAAAAGTAGGATGCTTTTCCAGCTCATCCAAATTAATCATGAAACTGCTAAGTAAGATTGTTTTATTTAGTGAAAGATATACATGCCTGAAAAGCTGTCATGGTCACATCGACTTGGAAAGCTGCAGTTAGAGCCGACCTGAGCAAAGACCACAGGTACGAACCGTGTACCTCCTCCAGGCAGACCAGGCCACAGCGCTATCTTGGTTAAAAATTAATTTCTTTTTTTTTTTCAGAGTAGAGGACCAAACATAGGGATTACTGCTCTACCACTGTGTAACTTCCCAACCCCTAAATGCTAATAGAAGAGATAAACACATAAAAGACAAACTCAACGTTTTTATAGTGTAGGTCCAGAAATTGAGCAACAGAGGGCGCTAATCTGCCACTCTGTCCCTCAAAAAATCAGTAAGAAAATGCTCTGAGTAAACTCAGCTCGGCCTGTTTTATGTTGTTACAAATGGGGGAGGGGGGCTTTAAACATTTCTATGCCAAAATCGGTGCTTTGTAACAATGGCATAATGACAATAATATTTTACATTTTTTTTACTGAAACAGTTACAGGATTCTAAGTGGTATTTGAAAATATTTTATAAAAACCTCCACCTTTATGCGAATCAATGAAAACTAAACACCCAGAAATACACAGTGCAGAATTTAAACCCCAAAACTACAACATATGATGGCGATAGATTCATGACGCCCTAGATTATACCCCGAGTGTAATATAATCATCCCTTTCCATAGACCGCCAAGCTGTGTAAAATTTAAGAAATAAATTCAGCAGAGTCTTTAAATACACGTTCATTACAGAACTACTACAAGCACAGATTTTTTTTTTCTTCCCATCGAGGCTTTTCTTCTTTTAACTTACAGTACGTAAGCAATAAAGTCAGAGACTGGAGTGTGAAGACTGGCAGTCACAGCCAACTCACAGGGTTATTTCGGCTCTATTAAAAACTCACAATTATGTTGAATGACACACATAATTAAATCCTATAAATGACTCTAATTAGCATTATTATTATTTTTTTTTTTATAAAGCCAAATAAAGCATTTCAGATTTTTAAGTCGAGAAGAGATGGGATGGCCGGGGTGGGGATGGAGGCTGAGGGAGGACAGCGCTAAAATGTGAGCTCTGTGAGCGTGGAGGAGGCAGCTGTGGGATGAGTGCCCCCCACCAGGCCCTGGGCATCTGGGCCTGCTGCTGAGAAGGGCCGGAAGCATGGGCATCCTGGGAGCAGACCTGGAGTCAAGCTTTGGGCTTCACCCACCACTTTCCTCAGTGAGTGGATGAGGGGCTGACAGCTCCCACAGAGAGAGAAGGGCTGTATCTAGTTAGCTTCTGCAGCAGCTGAACCAACCGACAATTCGAATGTGTCTGTGGAATTCTTTAAGGTGTCACACAAACGGGAGCCTGCCTGCACTGTGAGTACAGATGTCTGGGCTCCAGGGTTGAGCCGAGGCTTACAGAGAAGAGACACTGAGTCATTTGCTCACGGATCAGAGTTTAACTGACAGTTCCCGTGACAGTCATCTGAGACTCTCCACACAGTCCATTAGTCTTCGTGTCAACAAGAAAAACAGGGTCTCCTGTAACGCCCACCAACAGCACAACCAGAAAATGGGCTGCCATAAATGCCACTGTCTTTGGAAGACATGAAAGCCGGCTCCCGGAGAACTCATCCCACAGAGCTAGGTAACCATTAGCTGATATTACACTAGCCTGGAAGCAAAGAGAATGTGCATATAAGGCTTGAGAAAGCTTGTAAAATACTGGTACTAGACCCTGGGGGGTTGAAATGTACTTAGCTTCAACATTGTGAATATTGTGGAGGAGATAGATGGGCGGTGGTGGCGCATGCCTTTAATCCCAGCACCGGGGAGGCAGAGGCAGGTGGATTTCTGTGAGTTCCAGGCCAGCCTGGTCTACAGAGCGAGTTCCAGAACAGCCAAGGCTACACAGAGAAGTCCTGGCTTGGAAAACCAATATGTATGTGGGAGGAGAAAGGCATGAAGTGGGAGACAGGTCCTATGCAGGTTTGGCATGGAAATAAATAGAAACTGGTTAACCTTAAGAACACCAAGAAGGGGCCTGGAGAGATGGCTCAGAGGTTAAGAGCATTGGCTGTTCTTCCAGGGATCCTGAGTTCAATTCCCAGCAACCACATGGTGATTCATAACCATCTATAATGAGTTCTGGTGCTTTCTTCTGGCATTCAGGCATATATGCAGGCAGAACACTGTATTCATAATAAATAAATAAATAAGTCTTTAAAAAACACCAAGAAAAATCTTCATGTCCAAGAACCAGAAAATCAACCAATGTCCCCACAGCAGCTTTATTAAAGGAATGGTCCACTATTCTAAAACAAATCACCACTGAGAAAGAAACCACAGAAGCCCTTTTAACAGCATCACACTTAGACCACCAGGGTCTTGGCCCAGGAAAACACTGCTAAATTATTAAGAATAATAACAATCACCAAAAAGAGACCCTTGCATCTATACACAGCCACTGGAGAGTCAAGAGTCAGCTGATAATATTCTAGCAACCACATCTTCAAAAAAGAAAAAAAAAAAGACAACAAAACTTGAATGCAATACTCCAGAACGAATTACATGCAGTTAAACAGGTCATCACACATGCAACCGAGGGGGTGGGTGCGGCCGCGAGAATTCAGAGGCTAAGCATTCAGATGGAATAAAGCAGGGCAGATGCACGGTGAGAAGGATGAAGAACAGAACCGGAAGAAGTAAGGTCGGTTCTGGGATCAGCTTTGGAAAGCAAATTCAGGATGTAGCTGGCAAGAGAAAGAACCAAAAAAAGAAAAAAAAATTAATTGAGTGCTACAAGATCGCAGGGATGGTCACAGAAAACAGGGCCAGGGTAAAATGTGTGTGTAAGTGGCAAGAGTTCTAAAGAAAAAAATAAGATAAAATTAACAGTTTATTTCCTGAAATGAAACTTTTCAGTAAATACAAGAATTGTGTGTGTATGTGTGTATGTCCCTACCTAAGCCCAAGACTCCACCTTACACACATTCAGCTTCAACGTTAAAAACAAAACAAAACAAAAAAATAAATAAATAAACACTGCTTTCAGTCTCCAGCCAAAAAGGCCAAGATGTTTACAAAGGAAAAATAATTAGATATTATTCAAAAAAAAAATACCAAGACATGGAAGATTTTCAAGACTCAAGGGAAGAAATTACAGCCCAAAAGTTTTGTAATCAGGGAAGCTGCCCTTTTAAGTAGCAACTCTAAGAGAAAACACTTGATTTATGCAAGAATGTGAAGAAGAGAAAGAAAAGCCACTCACGTGTGGCATTTCCTAGTCCGTGACAGCACTGGACGGCACAATGTTCGAGGTCATTGGATGGCACAATGGAAAGCAATGCTCGTTATCCTGTGTAACAGATGAGAAGACTGAAGTCTACAGCTCAGGTGCAGATGGCCGTCTTGATATATAAATATTATCCACTCTAATGGATAATTAAAAATAACAAAGTAGAAATAACACAATTCAAAATGCAGTGAGGAAGGCTGAGAGAAGGCTCAGTTGGTAGAGCACTCAAACAAGCATGAGGACCTGAGCTTGTAACCCCTGGCACTGTGGAGGTGGACATGGGTAGGTCCCTGGGGCTCACTGCCTAGCCCATTCTGGCCTATCGGGAAAGCCCCAGGTCAATGAGAGAGACCCTGTCTCAAAAAAAACCAAAGTGGAGAATGCCCAAGAAACAACACCTGGGATTGACCTCTGGCTTCCAACTGCACACTCACAGGCACACATGGAAACACACACGAAAATAAGAGAGAGAGCAAAGTGAAAACAGAATAAACTTTGAATCTTGACACAGATAATAAATAAAAAGAATTGTTTAAGGCAGAAAAAAGAAAGTCCGAGAACCCCCAACGATGCAGGGTAATGCCACCTGTTCTTGGTCACCCACCAGAACCTGACAGTAAGATCCTATTTCTGGAGACACCAGGCATGGACGAGTCAATTTGTTCCTGACCAAGAAGCTTCCTAACCACCAGCTAGCTCTACAAGCTGCTGAGGGGCGGGGCTGTTAACGGTCTTAACCAGCTGTGAACTTGTGAGCTACAATTATGACTAGCGTAGGAAGCTACACCCATGGGTGCCCCAGAGGCATGGATGTTATGGGGATGAGTGCTATGGGGGTAACTGACTGCTTTCTACTGAATTTAACGTCTGTTCTGCAAGAGGGGAGTCATGCCCGGGGCTGTAAATCTGGTCAAGAATCCATTGTTCAGGAACTCGGGGTCCTGGCTGTGAACCTACTACCACTACTTTGCTTAATGGACATAGTATCTGAGAGAAGTTTCTTTTTGCAGTGGATGATGGTGGTGAATGTAGTAATCACAGTTAAAGTGCAGAGATTAAGTGTCTGCACTGTGCTCAACCATAGGACATATATATATATAATAGGGATATATATCACAACCCCTCTGTCAAGGCTCAGGGGCCCCCAGAAACGGAGGGAGGAAAGACCACTAGGGTCAGGCAGGACCAAAGCCAAACAGTGTCCCCTCTAGACAAGACAGGACCCTGTACTCGTGACCTCACGGTAGCCAGTGGTTGCGGTTGCCTGCACAAGACCTGCTTAAGATGAAGCCAGTCAACATTCCAGCAGGGAGTGGGCGGGCTCGTGAGACCTGCCCGAGCTGAGGAGCTGCTGGCAAATGATGCTTCTGAGGGGAAAAGAATCAGTTTTTTTTCAGGGTGTGGCCATGTGGGTCAACCATAGATGGCACCCATGATGGCAAGAACAGCAAAAAAGGGACTTAGGTGGTTAGTAAAAACGGGCAAACCCAGAAGGTCCTTGATGGAAGAATTTTAGCCAATGGGGACTGAAGGGAAAGAATAAAACAATCCCTGTTTGCAAACCTCTCTGCAATAAGCAATTTAAGCGAGGAGTAGAGATGGATGATTAAGCCACTGACGTCAAAGCCTGCGGGATAATATACTCACCCAGACCCAGTTCTCAGATGTCACTTACAAAAGGCAAAGAGAGAAAAAGGAGACAAGAAGCTGATGTCAGCTCCATTTGAAAGAGGTTGTGTGAGGCCTTCAGGCACAGGCCTATAATATAGCTGCTGGGAAGGCTGAGGCAGGATCCCCTGTTCAAGGTCCACCTGGGCAACTCAGTGAGACCCCACTGCAAAATAAAGAGAAGAATAAGAGCTGAGTAGGGGGCTTAGTAGCAGAGAGTTTGCCTACTAAATACAAGGTCATGGGTTCAAATCCCACAGTGGTAGAGAGCTTGCCTACCAAGTGCAAGGTCATAGGTTCAATCCCATAGGACCCCACAGTCAACTTCCAGCTATAGTAAAGAAGAGATGAAGAAGGCTCCAGGACCACTTAAGAGAACTACAAGACATGTGCAGAATGTAGGGTATTTATAAGTTTTAGTGTCTAGACTCTTCAAAGCATTAGCGAAAGGGGGATTTTAGAAAAGGGTTATTAACAGAAACCAAAGCGATGTAACCAAGTACACTGCATGAAACCAAATCAATTTTTAGTGGGGGACAAAAAACCCTGGCAGACAAAAACCCCGACTATGAGGAGATCTTGAGCCACTGGATAAACGTGAATATAGAAAACTATTAAGACTGTGCATACAACCATATTCTGACTATGCGGAAGCATGTTCTTAAAGACAGACACATGCCAGACTGTTGAGGTGCGCATGCCCCACTTGCAAACTCCTTTCCAAATGCTTCAACAGAACACTGTGTTCATACGGAGAGAAGGCAACGGAGGAGCAAACGTGCGTGCCACGAAATTAACGGCCGACTCAGTGAACACTTGCGGGCGTTTATCTGCGAAAGAGTTCGAGATAAAGAGGTGGTTTTTCTAAAGGCAGAAGTAGGCAAAGCGGGACCCTGTGCGCAGCAGGAGGCAGTGAGAGCCTCGGAACACGAAAGGAAATAAGGGGAAGCAACACGTAGCTAACTGCTGTCCCAGGGAACCCTAGTTTTCACTGTAAACTCAGAAGGGGAACCGGGCGAGTGGCTTCCTCCTCCCGAACTGCAGAGCGACGACTCTCTGCTCTCAGTTCTTCCAACCACCACCCGGGTAGATGGAAGTTAAGTCGGTGCTCACAGTGCAAGTGTCAAAGGCTTTAACAAAGTGTGACAACTTACTTAGTCGTTTGCACCAGCTCTCGGTGGCGGTCTACGATACAGACCATGGGAAGTGAAGACCCAGTGTTAAGCTCCAGAGGAACTCATTCACTCCAGTCATTTCAGGAGCTGGGGACATTGCTCAGTTCAGAGCAGGTGCCATTCTTGCAGAGGGTCTGAGTCTGGCTCCCAGCACCCACGGCTGGGTGCCTCACAACAGCCTGTATTTCCAGCTCCAAGGAATGACCTGGTACTGTTTTCTAGTCACCAAGGGCACCTGTACTCATGTATATACACACATACACAGAATTAAAAATAAAGTAAACCTTAAAAAAAGTCATTTCATGCCAGGCATGGTGGCACATACCTGTAATCTCTGCACTAGGGAGGCAGAGGCAGACCAGCTCCAGGCTGGTATGGTCTACACAGCAGGTCATCTACACAATAAGGTCCCGACTTTAGAAAACACATACAAAAGCTATTTCATTATTAGATACTAGGTCACTGCTGTTTCTGTGCCTCCCTGTCTTAACTATTTGTCTTAAAATATGGTTATTTCTGTTACTTAACTCAATCCTCTGCTTGCATGCAAGCTCCCCAAACACTATTACATCGTGGATTCTCTTTGTTTAAAAAAGTAAGAGAAACTTTTTAAAAAGATACACGTTAAATCTTGCAATCACCTGACAGCTTTGAGAGGTTTGAGAGGTAGAAAGAAGCAAGGCTGGTTTCAGGTGGAAGTGGGATGCGGGTGGGAGATGGGGTTCAGGGGCTGTGGAGCCTTTGAAGTCCTCGGGTCCCTGGCCTAGTTCTGGGAGCACTGTGCACCCCGGATAGGCTAACAGTCCTGGTTTCCAGATCTTAGTGAAGATGGGCAGCCCAGTGCCTGGGGGCCAATCCCACACCTCACCTAACACTCAGTCTCGGTCTTCAGCTGGCAAACCCTACACAGATCAACCAAGTGCATCCCCTTCTGTGTCCTCTGTTGCTTGTCCTTCGCTCTAAGTTTGCATCTGCTATTTCTTTTGGGGGAGCAGCTTTGTTCCTCCCTCCTCATGTGGTGGGACTGTTTTTCCTTCAGTCCACAGTATCCAGTGCACATCAGATGTTTCTCAGACGCACCATGGCCCTCTGATTCAATTCTGCATTGGGAAAAAAAAAACCTAGAACAGTGGTTCTCAACCTGTGGGTCGCGGTCCCCAAACCAGCAGAAAATGCAGATATTTAACTTTACAATTTGTAACAGCAGCAAAATGACAGTTATGAAGCAGCAATGAAAACAATTCTATGGTCGAGGGTCAGCACAACATGAGGAAATGTATTAAAGGGTCACAGCATTGGGAAAGTTGGGAACCACTGCTCTAGAGCAACAATTCAATAATTTTTGACATTGTAAAATTTTAGAAGAGTTAGACCAGTGTCCTTCTCTTTAAAATGGTATATGTGTGTGGATATGTGGAGATATATATATATATATATATATATATATATATATATATTTCTTTTCTCTCCCTCACAGACTAAACTAAGGAAGAGACATGGTATCTAAAGGGAACACGCTTGCTAGAGATTCTTACGTTGCTCTACGATGACATACCGTCACATGCTCTCTTCAAATGGAGACATCTGAGCATAGTTCTTACTAAGCTTCCTGCAACCAGCAAGAGTTTGGTGAAGCTGGCTGAGCAAATGGTAGTATCTAGGTGTCTACTGCATCACAGCCTTATTCCTGTTTTATTTTCACAGAAACATCACTGACCTGTCTATACCTTTCTCTTAGGGAATTTAATGTAAGGACACAGGGCCCCACCCAATAACCACTAAAGCACACAGACTTTTCACTTGAGCCAGAACTACCACCAACAAGGGAGCCTAATGCTATACTAACAGACCCTGAACTCAAGCCTCTACAACAGGGAGTTCACCCAAGGTCCGGGAAAGACCTGGCATTGTCTGTGGGATAGGAGACTATATGATACACAAATGCTCCAACTGTTCCACAAGGGCCATGTGACAGAGACCTCAGGACCAGAAACTAACCAGCGAGTCCTGCCAGAACTAGCTGGCAACACTTCCGAGGACGCCACGTGGTTCCCTGGAACTTGCTCACCATAGGAAGGGCTGTGTGTTTGGAGTTCCTTCCACTTCCACGTTTGTAATCTGTGGCCCACTCAATTCAATTTATCTAAGGTGCTGCTATTCTTTGAGTATTTCTAAGCAATTAATTTTTGAAAAAGAGTTATTTTTATTCTCAGACAAGGGTGTTTTGTGTGCACATATGTATGTGCACCACAGGTATGCCAGGAGCCCGAAGGAAGCCAGAAGAGGGCACAGCATCCCCTAGCATTTGAGTGACCGATGGCTGTGAGCGGCCACTAAAGCCACCTCTCTAGCACCAGCAATTACTCTCTTAAAGACAATTTTCTATGGATTTCACTCTCTCCATCTCTGCCCTTTCTCCAGTCTTTGCTCCTAAGCCACCTTCCCACACTGAACCAGGAACCGCTCCATGGAAGTGGCTGTTCAGTGAACGCGCTTCAGGCTCTCCTGTTCACACAACCCTTTTGTCAGTTGGCACTTCCACGCTTGCCTTTAGAAGGTTTGGTGATCTGACATTTTTTTACGTCCACTTAAATGACACCGTGTCTGCTGTTCAAATACCAAACTACAGTAAAGTGGAGGTATACTTCAACACTAACCGTCTTCCAGTCTGACTTGCAATCTGTTCTTCTAACTTGTGGAGCTCCGCCGTGTACGCCTCTATCCGAGCATGGCACACCATGAGGTTCTTAACTGCACGTAAAACCTGGTCTTTTTTTGTACTCAGGGAGAGCAGCTTCCATATTCCTTCTCGCATGCGGATTTCTAGGTCTATTTTCTCTCGGATGCTGCAGTCCTAAAATAGAGAATCGTTTGTATGAGGTAGCGATCGTCTAGAACTGCGTCTAAGACAGGCAATGGGAATTAATAGACATCATTTATTTTTGTACCATTCCGAGAATGAAACAAGATTTTTGACTTGTCACACTATAAAAATACAGCGACTTTAAAAAGTTATTTGCCAAATTCTTAAATTTCTTTCATTATAAGGAATTTTTTTCAACATACTGGCTAAACAAAACGGAAACATAGCTGAGAAAAAACAAAGCTACTATTAACACCATTAGCATAATAGAGTTCTCAACACTCTTGTCTACCCAGAACCCTAGAATGTGCTGTTATTTGGACACAAAATTTTGCACGTTATTAATTAAAATAGGGTCACACTGGATTAGAATGGGTCTCAAATCTTAATACGGTCATGTAAAGATACAGATTTAGGGAGAAGGCTAGGAAGACACAGACACACAAAAGCCACATAAAGACAGACACAGAAGCCACATACAGACACACAAAAGCCACATAAAGACAGGCACAGAGTCCACATAAAGACACACACACACCCCAAAGCCATGTAAAGACACAGAAACAGAGGTTGTTGGGGAATATTATTTTCAGGTGTGTGACTTTTGTTTATGCTGCATTTGTTTAACTCTGTGAAGCTGTGTTACCATGCCTGTCTAAAACACATGATGGTCCTAATAAAGATCTGAACGGCCAGTAGCAAGGCAGGAGCAAGCTTAGGTGGGGCTGGCAGGCACAGAGTATAAATAGGAGGACATCGGGGGCCAGCCACCCAGCCAGTTACAGAGTAAGATGGAAACAAAGGTAAACAGAAATAGAGAAAGATAAAAGCCCAGAAGTAAAAGCTAGTCAAGATAATTTAAGTTAAAAAAAAAAAAAGCTGGCAAGAAACAAGCCAAGCTAAGTCTGGACATTCGTAAGAAATAAGTCTCCGTGTGTGATTTACTTGGGAGCTGGGTAATGAGTCCCTCAAAAAGCCAAAAGAGTAACACGTCCCATGAGAGGGTGCATCACAGACACACAGAGACATGACAAGAGGACAGACAGACAGACACACGGCTGGTCTTCTGAAGACACACAGAGAGAAGGCCCTATGATGACAGACACGTGAGGAGACCACATGAAGACAGAGATGGAACATGATGGGTTAGTGGCAGCAGCCAGCACCTGGGAGAGGAAAGGAAGGGTCTGCAGAGGGCAATGGTGTTCACTTCCGACTTTTGGCCTCCAGATCTGGGGAGGATGTGTTGGTCTTTTGTTACGTCTGTTACGGCAGCCTTAAGACATATACCGTAAGCAGCTGGGGAAATGACTCGGCAATGAAGAACCACGCTGCTGCTTCTCCTCTCACAGAGGGCCAGAACTCAGTCCCCAGCACACGCCAGCAGTTCAAAACTGCCTTCAGCTCCAGGGGAACTAACACCCTCTGTGTTCTACAGACGCGCACGTGCCCCCTCCCCCCGCAACACACAAATAAAAATATTTTTAAGTAAATAACTGAGCAACAAACTACACGCACACCGAGATTATGAGTGATACCGGACACTGGGATGTGGCTGAGGGACACTGAATGCACCCAGGAAAAACTTTCTGAAAGAACAGACAGCTTAATAAAGGAAGTGAGCTTCCACAGCAGAGCAGACTAGGCTGGGCAGCACAGTGAACAAGGGAAATAAAATGTAGAAGCCAAGGCTAGGAGCTGGGGCCTGGGAAATGCTAGAGGCCTGGGCTGCCGGGACAGAGACTCAGCTCTGGATGGGTTTATTTTGGAGTCACCAAGAAATGTCTTTGTAGTTTAGTTCTGGTTCTTGGTCTTTTGGTCTATTTAAAGTCAAGGCGATGGGCTCATTCGTATCATTAAAAGTCTATAAACAAGGTGCGCAGTTCTCAATTCACTTTGTAAAAACTGTAAGGTGCGAAGGAACCGATTTCTGTGTCTATTTCTAAAAGCGATGATCCCAGCTTTGGCAGTAAAAACTACTACTTCCTCATTGTACTGAAACATCAATTTAAAAAGTGTGAAGGGAGTCTAGCGACAAAAGTGGCGAACATTAAAAGGACAATCATTTCATAAGGAAGAGAAGCTGCCAGTTAGAACTGCTGACAGTGTCTAAGACGAACGCCCCCAGAAGCAAACGGCCGGACGGTTTGATTTGACGCTCCCCAAGACTAATCAGCTGAGACATTCATACAAGAGGAGATATCTGATTAATTACCCTTAGCCCTCACATTGTAGAATCTACATGCTAGCCTCATCATGTAGTGTGCACTGACTCAAACTGGGGCACCGTACAAACGCTGTACCTTGCCAGTCTCCTTTGCACGTGACGGCGTTTCCTCAACTCTTACTTCGTCTGTGTATGACTTGTTGGCCCAATGACTACTCTCTTTCCACGCCTTCAGCAGTTAACTGTAAGAAGCATCTCCGTGACCCGTATGTCTACGGTAACTAACAGCGGCAGGCTGGTTAGCGCTCGCAAGTGCATGCTGGGAGCACCTAAAGCTTTATGCCACAGTGCAAATGTAAATAAATGCCAGCTGGTGCCTCAAAACTCAGGTTTGCCTGTTAAACACAGCAACGAGACAAGCTGACTGAACTGACAGAGGTCCTGAAAGCTGGCTACATCTGAGGACCAACTGAGGCACAGAGAAAGAGCCGTATTAAAGCACCCGACCCCATGGTTCTCAACCTGTGAGTCGTGACCCCCTTCGGGGGGAGGGGTCACATATCAGATATCCTGCATTAGATTTACGTTAGGATTCTTAACAGTAGCAAAATAAGTTATGAAGTAGCAATGAGATAATTTTAACTTTATGGCTGGGGGTCAACAGCTTCAGAAAGGTTGGGAACGGCTGACCTAGTGATTTAGTGGCTCAGATGGACAACTATTGTGGGACCCTGAAATCCAGCCATCATAAAATTGCAACAACCCAAAGGAACCAGCAGGGGGCCACAGCCACACTCCATACTAGCCTGGACTCCCCGGCCTCTGCCTGATCTGTGAGCAGAGCCTTTTGCTGTCCTGTCCTCAACAGCTGAAAAAGACTCAAATAATTACAGAGGCTTGGGAAAAAGAGATAAGAGTGGAAAGCCAAAACAAAAGCTTATACCTGGGATTAAGCTAATGTTCACTAAGGAAATGAGGCATCTGGGGCAGTTATGACTGGAATTTCGTCTTTTACAGCAGGAGTTAGCCAACTAGGGCCCGGTTGGTGCCTGTTTTTGTAAATAAAGTACTGAATCATACTAGCTCATCCTGGCCGTGGCTACTTTCCAACCACAGAGGCCAAGATGAGAAACTTAAAGAGCGTAGTCAGCAAAATGAATACTTACCACGTGGCCTTTAATCCACTCCAGTGGAAATACCCTTAGACGAGGACCCTGCCTTCTTTCCCAGGGCTCCCTCCAGCAGACGGAAGAGGAATGACACACAGGGTGAACTCATTGCTCAGTGTTTGCACACATCGGCTTTGAACACACTCAGTTAACAGTGTCCACGATGGCAGCAAGTTTGTGCTTCCCACACAACTTGTTAGCACACACGCAGTCTACAAGGAAACCTCCGATCAACACCACTAACCGGCTGTAGGCAAGTCATGGTTTACAACACCAAAGGAGAAGCCTTTACTGAGTAGGTGCACAGTACTGCTGGGGAGACACTGATGTCTGGGGCAACCCAGTGGGAAGACAGACCGTGGAAGGAAGGCCATTCACTGAGCAAACAGTGATGCTGACTGTCCTCCAAGAGGATAGAAGAACTACAACCATCACTATCACTGTCTGGGCCCAAAGGGAACCGTCAGGCAGAGTAAAGGATGACTGTGGCCAATGAGAAAGGATGCTCTGTGTGCATCCTGCTGGAATGTGGGGATGCGGGTCCAAGAAGAACGAGTTAGCCATCCTCTTCCTCAGGGTTCCGCTTTCTGAATAAGGGCCTGCACAGAATCGGGTCAGGCAGACAGTCATATCACTGTCCTGCTACGATAAGTGTTAAAGTTAGCCGCTAAGATGGAATGGACAGAGCAAAGCAAAAACACGGAACAGTTGGACGCTTTAAAAAGTAGAAGATGAGGGCTGAAAAGATGGCTCAGCGGTTAGGATGCTTGTCTGCTTGCCGTTCTTCAGAGGCTAGGAGCTCCAATTCCCAGAGTCCACAACGTGCAGCTCACAACCACCTATGACTCCAGCTCCAGGGGATCAAGAACCTTCTCCTGGCCTCCCAGGTACCCTCTCACACATGTGCATACACATACATAAAAAAATAAATCTTTAAGATGCATAAAAGTAGAAATGAGGAAACAGGGAGATGGCTCAACGTGCAAGCACGGGGGCCTGAGTTCACCCACAGAAAGCTGTGCCCCTGCAAGCCCAGGGATGGAGAGGGGAAGACATAGATCGCAGGCTTACTGGCAGTCAGTCTAGCAGAAAATGGAAAGTTCTAGGTTCAATAAAAGATTCCCTCTCTCTTGCACACATGCACACGCACGCACACACACACAGGGGGGGAAGAAGAGAGAGAGAGACAGAGAGAGAGAGACAGAGAGAGAGAGGAAGAGAGAGAAGAAGAGAGACAGAGAAAGAGGGAGAGAAAAGGGGAGAGGGAGGGAGAGAAAGGGAGGGAGGGAGAGAAAGGGAGGGAGAGAGAGAGGAAGGGAGGGAGAGAGAGAGGAAGGGAGGGAGAGAGAAAGAGAGACACACCTTTCATCTCTGCTCAGGTGAGGCAGAGGCAAGCAGATCTGTGATTTCAGGCGAGCCTCCTCTACATGCTGAGTTTCAGGCCAATCGGGGCCTACATGGTGAAAACTTGTCTCAAAAACAAAAAAACAAACAACAACAAAAATAAAACAGTGAAGAGCCATAAAGGAATGCACCAATGCTGACTCTGGCCCCCACATGTATGTGCCCAGACAAGCGTTAACTTGACACACGTGTGCACACAGAAATCCGAGCTAGAGCAGTGGTGTGCTGCCTCTCTAGAAGGTACAGGGCCCTGAACTTGATCTCTACCACCGCAGAAAAAATCATAAAGCAGGTGGTCTAGATGACAGAAGAGAGACATCTAAAAGGCTTTAAGAGCCAGAACAGCACAGAGACAGAGAAAGGCCTTATTGTTGAAGGCAGGGATGGTGGTGCTTGGTAAAAGGAGAGAAAAAATCCATAAGTAATTCTGACTGAAATCACTGTCTACCTACTACCCTGTAACTACGCCATGCTGGCAGAGACCAAGGGGAAGGTAAAGAAAATTATGCTGGAGAGGATGTGGAGTAAAGAGAACACTCCTGCATTGCTGGTGGGAGTGGAAGATGGTACAGCCCCTTTGGATATCAGAATGGCAATTTCTCTGAAAATTAGGAAACAACCTTCCTCAAGACCCAACAATACCACTTTTGAGTATATACCCAAAGGATACTCAATCATGCCAAAAGGACATGTGCTCATCTATGTTCATACCAGCATTGTCATAGCCAGAACCTGGAAACAACCTAAATGACCCTCGACTGAAGAATGGATAAGGAAAATGTGGTACATTTATTTACACAATGGAGTACTACACAGCAGAAAAGAATGACATCTTGAAATTTGTGGGCAAATGGGTGGAACTAGAAAATATCATATTGAATGAGGTAACCCAGACCCAGAAAGACAAATAAAATATGTATTCACTCATAAGTAGCTTTCAGACATAAAGCAAAGAAAAACCAGCCTACAATTTGCAATCCCTGTGAACCTCAACAAAGAGGACCCTAAGAGAAACATACACCGATCTAATCTACATGTGAAGTAGAAAAAGACAAGATCTCCTGAGTAAATTGGGAGCATGGGGATCATGGGAAAGGGTAGAAAGTAAGGGGGTAGGAAGGGAGGGGAACGGAGAAAAATATATAGTTCAATAAAAACAAAAAATATTCTCGGCTACACCACTAAGTAAAAAAGATTTGAACACATTTTACATGGCTAAAAAAAAAAACCCTCCGAATTTGTTTGCAACTCAGTGTCTTCCCTTTTCCCTCGTATTTGTGCAAGAATCCACGTTTAAACTTCTATCTTCTTGTAAAGCTAAGAGCGTGCTAGCCCGCCGTCCCCACAATTTGATGCACGCCCACACCTATGAGAGCAGAGCCTTGGGGGCATTAGATGCACAGCTGTGCGGGCCGCGGAGGCTCTAATAGCAACCCGGGCACCCGTTCCCAGTGTATCACCTCGGCTTTGCAAGCCTGGGGAGGACCGGCAGGTGAGAAAGGCCCCGGTGTCCTTCTCCAGCCCCGGCCTGTCTCCTCCTTGGGTGCAGCCTACGGCCGTGCAAACCCACGGTGCACGCTCGGCTCCCGAACTCTCACCAGGCTGCAGCATGCCATTTCCCCGCGACCTCGCTCACCTGTTGCGCAGGGAGGCCTCTCCGCAGCCGCCCCTCCATCTCCGTGCAAGTCGGGGACAATTTGAAAAGCGCGCCCCGGGCTGCAGCTGCCGACCGCACCAACCGCCCGGCCGTACCAAGTCCGACTGCGGGGGAAACCCAGCCCGCGACGCCGCGCAAGCGCACTAGCGGCGCTGAGGCCAGGACCGCCAGAAGACGACGGAGACCCGAGAGCTCTGAAGAGACCCTCAGCAACAGCCGGCTTTAAGCGCGGGCGGGGCCTAGGAGTGTGGTGGGCGGGGTCTGAACAGCGTGCCGGCCTGGGTGGGCGGGGCTTGAAGGAAGAGACCCTGCCCGGGTGGGCTGGGCAGGCGTGGGGGGAGGGAGGCAGGGCGGGGTTCAGCTGGGGGCGGGACCTGAGCCGGTGGGCGGGGTGGAGGGCTCAGGCCCGAGTTTTCCATGTAGGTTTGAGGTAAGTTTTCTCCAGCATCTTTAAATGAATGGGCTGTTTGAATCCCACAGACCACATAGGGACATGAGGTCCCATGGTCTGCCTCTCAAACTTGTCTTCACGCAGAGATATGCTCTTAGTAAGGCTGGGGAGACAGACAGTGCTGCAGACAGATGTTTTGTGAGCTCGTCCCTGGGTTTTTTCCCTTCGAAAGTGGCAGCAGACAGCGGTATCCAGAAGCCTGGTTGTTGGCACAGTCCTTCCTTAAGACAGAGGATGGGAGATGCTGAAGGACTGAACTAGGGGTTCCAAGCATATCAGGCAACTGGTCTACCACTGAACTATCCAGCTCAAACACTACTTTTAATTGAAGGATGTACACACCCTTGTAAAGGATTTAAAATCATCCCTTAGTTTATCTTGTGCAGGAAATGTTTAAGGCTTTGGGCATTTTCCTCCTGAGGGAAGACTCTGCCAAATCAGGCCTCCTACCTCACCTCATAAATGGCCTTGGGTACTGATCCTGTTTATTTATTTACCTTGAACATCCCCTATTGGTTTTGTTGTCCTAGTGTTCTGCCTATGTTAACCCTTTGTGGACTTTAAAGTATATGGTCATCTTACTCACAAGCCTCTTTGTTAAAGCAAATAATTGAAAGGTGTACGGCTTAAAAATAAAGCGTGGGCCAGTGAGATGCTCAGCAAGTAAAGGTGCTTGATGCCAAGCCTCCTGACCTAAGTTCGAAACCCCAGGATTCATATATACACACAGGAAGGTACACACACACACACCTTCCTCTCAAGTGGATAATTGCCTGGTTGAGGTCCTCAGGACTAGGTGATTCTAGAAGCTGCCCAGTTAGGAAGGCGTGACTCTCCTCTTAGATTAGCAGCCTGCAATGACCCACAGTTGTAAAGTATGTGAGACTCAAAATTACCAACACCCAACTCACCCAGTCCCCTCCGAACGCAGGCCTGAATTCCACTGTCATTAGGTGCCCCTTGCCCTAACGCTCAACTCCCTTGTAGCAGCACTTTGGGGTGTAATTATCCCCAACTGCCGTGCGCTGCAGGAGCCAGGCATAACACCTGACTCACAAAAGAAGCATACACAGAGAACAGCTTCAGGCACACGCCAGCCTTTGCCGGGTAGCACGTCCAACTCTCAGACTTGGATCAAAATATGTGCCAAGGGCAGCACCTTGAGAGAAACAGAAAGATGACCAGTTTCAAACTGAACACTGATGTGGAAATGTTGGTGGATGAGTACTGTAGGTGTAATAATCCTAGGAAGAAGTCTAAGAAAAGGCCATGTTTGGTACTTGCTGTAGACTATGGATAGTGGCTGTTAAAGACCTCTCTCTTTGTAGAAGAGATGATGTGGGCCTATCCCCTTCTTAGTCATCAAGGGATGTGTCCCGGAAGTGCTTAAGGGCTTCTTACCCTCTAGCTGGTGATTAGAGTAGCTTCGAATAGGATTTCTGTTTCCTTATTTATCCCCAGGTCCTTTCTTGTTACTGCTGGCTTCATCCAACATAGTTCGCTTTGATGTCGACAAGGCATACAAAAATAGAAGCAGCCTTCGAAACACCAGAAGGTTAGGGAGTGGTGGCTGAGGATGTGCCCTAGTTGGCAGGATGCTTGCCTAGCCTGGACAAGGTCCTGAGTTCTTTTCCCAGCATGCCGTAAACTGGGCATGGTGATACATGCGGGTAATCCTTGTACTCCAGAGGTAGGGACAAGACAATCAAAAGTCTCGAGTTATCATTGGTTACAGAGTTGAAGCTAGTGTGGGTTACAAGAGATGCTGTCAAAACTAAAATCAAATAAAGAGTACACAAGTGGTTGTATTAACTTGAGAATTTATTTATCTTGCAATGTATTCATTTTTCAACTAGAAAAAAAATAAGTACTTTTTTTTTCTATCTGAGGGCTAAATTGAGGCATCCTTCAACTCTCTTCCTTCTGGCTCTCCCAGAGATGCTAGATACCCACCCACCTTCCCAGGTTTGCTTTAGCTGGAGGTTGAATAATGGGATCATTTCAGTACTAATTATAATGTGGACATTGTTTATATGAACTACAACAAAGGGAGGTTGATTCATAATTAAATGAAAAGTGATAGAAACAAAGTGACCAAATAATACAATAAGTGGTGTTCAAAGTATATTTTCTTGTATTAGTCTTCTTAACTTTCACGACTCTGGAACTTGCTGATACAAGTTCTGCCTATGCCTCTAGAGTGCTGGGATTCAAATACGTCCCCCTGCACCCAGACCTATTGCTTTTTAAAAAAATATATAGTTTATTACAGAACAGGCAACTGATGGTAATTTTTATTTCATTCAAGACCTTTAAAAAATTCCAATTTGAAAATTATCTTGGAGAGTCAGTGAGATAGCCTGACAGTAAAGGAGTTTGTTGCCAAGCCTGAAAACCTGAGTCCTGTTCCTAAGACCTACACCATATGAGGACAGAGCTGACCCCCACAAGTTGTCCTCTGACCACACACAGGTTGCTGCTTACGAATGTCCACCTTATCCTCACAATAAACAAACTAACTAACTAATAAATAAAAAAATAAATACTTTTTTAGATTTAGAGAAAATTGTCTATAATTCAAATAATAAAATTAAAATAAAATATAAAGAGGAGAGATGTGTGTTTGTATTGTGTACAAAAGAGAGGGAAGTGGAAGGAGGGAGAAGGGAGAGAGGAGAAGAAATGATGGGAGAGAGAGAGGTAACGATGCTAAGCAGAGAGTATTTTTTTTAAATGACAAAACCATAATCTACAAACAGGTGAAGCATCATCTAATCTTACAAAGGATATAGGATGCTGAGTCTGAGGACTTAGCCCTGCAGTTCTGGGAAGACTGCTCAGTTTCCTTACCTGTAAAACAGAACTGCTAATAGCTGTCTTGTCTTTAAAGTTGAGACGGTGACAGCCAGTTGAGATAAGGTTTCGAAAGTACCCTATAACTTTCTCATTCCACAAACACAGGCCATGACTCATGAAGGAAAGACACACCAGTACCTCAAGTCAACCATTTTAGACTCAAGGAACTCTAAGAGTGGATTGGGGAAAAACATATATATTTGGAAATATTCAACATATATCACCTACCACTGACAATATTGAGAATATGTGTGAAGGAGGTGGGAATGGGGAATGCCTATCGTGTTCTGAAAGCTGAGGAAGGATTAAAAGTCTGAGGCCACCTGGACCATTTAGCCAGCTGGTCAAAATAAAAAGGGGCTGGAGATATTAGCTCAGTGCAAAGTACCCAAGAAACACAAGACCCCTAGTTCTATCCCCAGTACTGAAAATCAAACAGTCACAAAAATCCAGCTGGAAAATACCCAAACTGTATGTCAGACATAAAGTATAGCATTAAATCAATACAGAAAATAAAATATAAGTATACTCAGGCTTATTATTAGTCTGTCAACCGCAGATGAAAGCTGGAGGGGGATAAGATTTTACAGTTAGTAAGTTGATCGATATTATTCCAATAATGCTAAGGTTTAGAAGGTGGGAATCTGTCAATACGATACATTGGCAGAGACAATGGAAATGCGCCTAATCGCTTTAGGGGGAAAGTAAAAATATAAAGTCGAAAATGTATGTGTGTCCATGTATAAATTCTTCGCCCATAGGTATATATCCTTTCCTTTTAAAATGTACTTGCAAATCCGTACTGGCAACATTGTGCTTGTAATAGAAAGATACCAAAATAACACAAGTGCTTATTTTAGGAGTGTGAATAAATTATAGCACTCTACCCAGATGACATACATCTTTAGAAAGGAATGTACCATAGCCGTGTGCTATCTGGATAAACTGGTTTTTCTCAGAATGAAGGAAGCTAATTTCAGAAGACTGCACTGGATATAATATTTTTGCATTGCAGCCACAAGACAACTGAAGCTGTATTGTTCGCGAAAACCCATGTGATAAAAGTCTACATTTCACACAGAAGAGGGTGCTTTGGAGGGTACGTGTCTGAAAAGTCTCTCAAAGGCTCGAATGCTGAAGTCTGGGGTTTGCAGCAGTGTTTGTATTACACTGGGGGTGCTCTCTCCTCATCAATGTACCAGTTCATTGATTAATTTGAGGACTCACTTAAGGTAGTGAAACCTTTAGGGGATGCGCCCTCGTTGGAGGACACAGGTAATTGGAGCATAACCGTGGTGTGTTCGGTTACTCTTCTGCTGCTGTGATAGAACACCAAGGGACTTCCAGAAGAATGGATGAGGGCTATGGTTCCAGAGGGTAAGCCTAGAATGGCAGGGTGTGTATGGCCGCCGATGGCTGGAGTGGGAAGCTGAGAGTTGACGTCTTCAGCTGCAAATAGGAAGCAGAGAGAGTAAACTAGAGATGCAATGAGGTGATACAAATGACACTACATACCCTAACAAAAAAGAGCAACCTTGGGGAGAAAAGCGTTTGTAGTGAGGGCTGCGGGCAGGCCTGCTTTTCGTCCTGCCCGGCTCCCACAGGGCTAGCTTAGCCCTGGAAATAACAACACACAAACTGTATTCATTTAAACACTGCCTGGCCCATTATCTCTAGAGAGTTAGTTACTGGCTAACTCTCACATCTTGATTAACCCATCTCTAATAATCTGTGTAGCACCACAAGGTGGTGGCTTACCGGGAAAGATTCAGCATGTCTGACCTGGTGGCTGGCTCCATGGTGTCTGCCTCATTGCCCTCTTCCCAGCATTCTGTTCTGTTTACTCCACCTACCTAATTTTCTGTCCTATCAGAGGGCCAAGGCAGTCTCTTTATTAACCAATGAAAATAACACATAAA